TTCTTTTCAACTGAAGAAAGAAAGACATGGACATCTTGGATGACATGGGGGTGAGTAAATTATCAGCAAAAGTTTTTTTTTTAAGTGAACTACTCCTTTAAGTAGTTTGAGAGCGTAGGGAGATCGACTCGATTACACCAGTTGCGATTTTTTTGATTTGGGGAGATTACTTTGCAGAATTATGGGTAATGTAGTTTTGCAACAAGAATTCCACTGTTAAAAAGAACCTGATTGTTGTACTCTATGTTGGAGATAGTGGAAAGACGCTATATGATTACATAATGTCAAGACAGGTTGTTTTCTCTCTCTCCCATAGTATGAAGGAGCAAATTGAAATCACGAAAGACTCCATTGCAAACAAGGAGCAAGTAGCAGCACTTCTGGAGAAACACCTTGCCAATCTGGAGAGGTCTTTGAACACTATGCAACTTCGACTGGCCAAACTACTACCCCAGTGATTTCATTTGGGCAACACAAGCCCATGTTAAACGGATATGTGAAAAAATTAATAATGCATGTTTTATTACCACATTTAATCACACAAACAAAAAAAAACAACATATATGACCATATACTGCATGCTAACAGCATCCTGTACTTCTCTTCCCCCCCTCGTTCTTCAACTCTATTAAGTGAGTTACTAAGTAGGTACTAGTAATAAAATCTATTTATACCCCCAGACTAAAGACTTGTACCTTACAAATTTGTCTAAAATACCCTGTGATGAAGAAAAATGTCACTTACACAACGGTTCATTTGATTTTGCATGTCTGATTGCATATTAAAAAAAATAGGATGAACACATAATCAGCAAATGCATTTATTCAAATACAAAATCAAACTGTTCAAGCATTTAAAAACTATACAGAGCACTAGATAAATCTTCAGCTGCAGTCCAGACTCAAGTATGAATCAAATGTATTTTTACCTTCAGCGCAGAAGTGGTTAAAATGTTAAAGGGCATCAAATATACCTCTAAAATACCTCTCTAAACCCTGAGAAATATCATTTTATTTATAAGACGCATCCATAAGCAAAGTCTAATTTCACAATGAAGGGAATGGGCTGTGTAGATGTTTGAATTGTTGCAGCTGAATAAAAAAAAAAAATACAAATCATGGTGTCAAGTAGTAATAAAACACCACCAATGCATGATACAGCAGCACATATACTGGTTTCCTGTGCTCACAGTGGTGAATCTGAACATTTTAAACAGCATAGTGTAAGTGGGTGCTAAACCATACAGACTACAGTAAGTAAAACATGTATGTTACCTCTCTAAAACAACAAATCTTTGGGTGAAATCTCCTTATTTGTAAGACAACGTCCTATGACTTTATCCACTGTTCTAGTAAGGAAGTGGTCAGAACCAGTTCACAGTAATTTCCTCTGACTTGTTATTCATCACTACAGGTTGTCATCATCTTTGTCCATTTCTTCCAGTGACTTCAGATAATCTCTGGCCAAGATTTTCTTAGGAAGGATGTCTACAAATAGAAGAGACAAAACTGTTTACACACCACTTCATGTGGTTTGAATTGTGATTGTCATCATTACAGATGACCAGGACTCACCAGTTAAAAACTGAAATGTTTCAGACTCTTCTGCGGCCCTGGCCAGATCACTGTATGACAGTGTGTTTGTCTCTTTACCAGAACCGTTTTTATATGAAGACAGAGCCAAGTGCTGGACAAAAAGCTCCTATGAGGAAAGTATGAAGATGTGTCACACTCACAGACAGTGATATAAACATCAGTCAATGATACAAGAGTCGTTCGCTAATACGAGAGATATGAATTTAAACTAAAAGTTAACTGGTGTCAAAAATGTTCATAGCGACCAAAAACAAAACAGATTTGCAGCTGAATAAGGCAGTTAACCTGCCATCTGACCATTGATTAATAACACACCAAATTACCGTTGCTTTAGTTGTCAAGAAAAGAGCGTCCTGGTTAATACAGGACACATCGGGAGAACTTTTCATGATTAATCGCACCCTCGAAATAGGCAGAGATATATTTTTACTGTTTGTAGCTTGCTCAACTTTCTCCTCCATGTTTATATCTTTTAGCAGCGGCTGTGGTTCTAGCTTAACGGAAGTAAATCACTCTACAGGCTTTCAAAGAGACGTCCCTTGATGACGACGTTTACATGGGAACTGTAGTTTTAAGACAAATCGTTTGTAGTCCTTTGAGAATTTTGTCAGAAGAGGAAAAATAAGTGTAAGCAGTTGTTTTTTTAATGTATGTATGTATGTATTAGATATGTAAAGTGACCATATGTTTTTATCGTTTATACCTTTCATTTATTAGTAAAAGTCCTGTGTCAAATTATCTAAAATATTGGTTTTCTAGCTTTTTGACTCCCCACACATTTTTTTCTTCCGTAATAATTATAATGCAGCTAAGATCGTCAATTTATTAAAATAATAATAAAAAAAAATACTGTTGATGTGACGAATTAAAATGGCAAATATAACGTCATATTGTTATTTTTAAAAACATTTTAAATGTAACGTAACATCATTTATTAACTTTTTTAATTATTTAAACTGTATAAAAGTATTTAAATACAAGTATTTCAATGCTTTCTGTAATTAGGAAGTTTTTTTTCTTTTTAATGCGACAAAAAGTCTGGCAACAAATCTGTCCGCATGGTAGTCGTTCGTTAAATAGGTATAAACTACGTTTCCCGAAATACCAGAGTTGTTTTTTTCCCTCCTCGACAGTAGTTGGGCGTGTGCACTTCACAGATAACGAATGAGCTTGGCAACGATGTTTACTACAGCGTTCAGGACTGCGTTACCCACAATGCACTGCACACCGTTGTCAAAAGTCTTGCTTTCTTGGGTCACTTGTCGAACTCTGGTCAGCTAACTTTCTCTTATTTGACGAAATAATGCATCTGTCAGGCGCTATGCTTGGGGAAATAGGACACGGACAGGGGCCCGGTGCCGGACCAGCGCCTGGAACCTGCAATCCGCGGAAATTCAGCGAGAAAATCGCGCTTCATAATCAGCGACAGGCTGAAGACACAGCCGCTTTCCGAGAGGTTATGATGGACATTACTTCCATCAGGGTGAGTCTACTCGATACAGCACATGTCAGACGTGTTTACGACACTTGTCATATATTTGACCTGGGCTCCGTTATAATGTTATTATGAAGTTTTATTGATTGCTGACAACTAGCTTTAGGTACAGCTACTGGGTTTTCTTAGGAAGTGCGCTGTCAGTTAGCTAACTTACCAAGAAATCAAAAGGGAAGTAAAAAAAAAGTTTGTGGATTGTTGTTTTGTGTGGATACCGGTATTTGTACATATTAACCCGTATCCCATTTCCCCCAGCTAAAGTATTTTTACTTCTGCTTGCCTTTTGTATAATAATATAACTCACATATAACATATTTTCTAACATAAATGAATATTGCAGTCAAAAACTACTGGTTGGACTAAAAGATACATTATAACGTTTCAAACAACGAAGTAACATAATTACACGAGACAAAATAAATAGTTGTCCACAAATAAATGCATATTTCGTTGTACTTTTACTTGTTTTAATGTAACAATACGTACATACTGTAAATCAATCAAAAAAGCTAAAAATCGTGCTCAGTGTTAACATGTGTGATCATGACTTACATGAGACAGCAATATTAATCATAAATAACATTAGACCCTTATTGTATGTATCAAATATGGTAGGTAGCTCTATGATGAAGTTAAAGCAGTGTTAAACAGTTCTGGTCATGTAACTATTTACAGCAGGTGTTAAAAAAGGTTCATCTGAAATCGAGATGGTATTATACCCTTTAAAATCACAAGTAAAATGTAGGAATATTTGGTGGGATTAAATGGGTTATCATCTGTATATGGACTTGTGATTCAGCAGGTTCACAACGTGGATTATGTCAATGCACATAAATAGCACTTTGTCAGTCACTCATAGGGTCCGTTTCACATCAGTGTTGTAGACTGAGGCAAAGGGATCTGTAAATCCCAGGTACAGTGTCTGTTTTAAATTAAGATCTAACTTGTGTTTGTTCCCCTGAGGGTAAAGCAGTCTGTGGGGGAGAGAGAGATTGATGTTGTGCTACTGTGACCACTGGGCATCTATTCATTCCCTCCTCAGGTTCAGGCTGAGAGAGTTCGGCAAACCAGCGACTTGGTCCCGTACTATGGAGGATCGCTGCCAAATGTCAATCAGATCTCAAGATGCTCCACGGAGAGTCAGGTGAGGGATTTTTATTTGGTATCATTATTATCCTCCTCTCTTTATAAATAAAGGAGAAACATCCTGGAATTATTTTTCAGTGTTAGGTCTTTTTCTTTGAATGAATTGCATTTGATTTCCCTTTCTGCTATTTACAGTACCCGAGTTATCTCACACAGCAGCTCCTAGAGGCAGATGAAGAATACAGAGACGTCCAGCCTAGTCCTATTGGCAGGCCGCACAGGAGACATGTATCCCCACTTTTACAATGGCTGATAAGGTTACACTTAATTTCAATGGTCTGCTTTAGACATTCTAGTAACTTTGCAACTACATCTCCACTTGCTCTCATTGGAATATTAGTAGACTGTTAGGTTAATGTAGTTGCAAAGTTACTTATAGTTAGTAGAATGTCTAAAGTGGAGCATCAAACTAAAGTGTTACTGCTGATAATCTTACAGATCCATGTTTTTAGTAATATGAAAGGAATATTGCAACTCTAATCTTAAGGGGATAGTTATGTAATGTAAAGTTATGTTATATAAATATGTATACAGACAATGGTTGCATACAGAGAACAGGTATTTTTAATAATAGTAATTTTCACCACCACCGAAAAAGCCATGAAAATTGTTATAGTGAATATATATATATATATATATATATATATATATTACTTATGTTATTCTTTTAACTGCATTAAGTTCTACACAGTATTACACCAACAAGTACATTCAAAACATTCTTTAAGATTTTTTATAGAAATTAATACTTTCATTTAGTATTAACTTGATCAAAAGTGACAAAGACATTTATAATGTTACAAAGAAATTCTGTTTCAAATAAATGCTGTTCTTTTGAACCTTTTATTCATCAAAGAATCCCTTGCTGTTTCCACAAAAATATTAAGAAACTCTTTTGGCATTAGTGATAATAGTGATAATGCTTCCTTGCTGAATATAAGTAAGTTCTTTAAAAAAGAAGAACAAATCCTACCCTGAACTTTCGAATGGTAGTGTATCACAGTTTCTACAAAAATATTAAGCAGCAAAAATTAAATATTTCTTGAGCATCAAATCAGCATATTATAATAAATTCTGAAGGATCGTGTGACACTGAAAACTGGAGTAATGATGCTGAAAATTCAGCTACAATGCAAAACAATTATTTTAAATTGTAATCATATTTCATAATTTTACTGTATTTTAGCATACTGTAAGAGAAAAAACCTTACCGACCCCAAACCTAGTGTATAATCTGTAATTATTTTTAAAATACTAATACATTTATCATAAACAATTGCAGAATTTATGGAACATTGTACGTTGCAAGGTCTGAAAAGAACCAAAATTCATTATTTTTAAGCCTTAATTTCATTTCACAGTTTGAAAGCGCTCCCTATCTCTCTTCCCACCTCTCTCCTCCTCGAGGTCCTAACTGGAGAAGGTAAGGTTATAGAAGAAAGTGTGCTGAAGTCTACCACAGTTATGACATTACCTTTAGGTGCACAATCATGGGGTTTGAGCTCCCTGAATTGTTTTAGTGCCATTACTTTGATTAGTATTTTAAGTACTTTTGCTTGTGTCTAAGCAGAAACTGGTCCAGTTGTTCTTCCACTGAGAAGAGCCAGATGGTTCGTCTTCCTCTGACAGCTCTAAATAGGTAAGCAGTAGTCAGAAGAAGACTGCTGATCCAAGATCAGCTCTTGCGTGTGTACAATAATGGTATTAGTTACGCCCACTGATCTCTCTAATTGGGGATGAACTTGCTTAACTCTGTAAGATTTAGAAAATGTTATTGACTCCCACATCACCATGCTTACGCCCATCACTCTCTAATCCTGTTTATCCTTTCAGAACCAACTCTGACTCGGCCCTCCACACCAGTGTGCGAAACACCCAATTACATGGCCATCCCAAATCTGGCCAAACCCTGAACCCTCAAACCAGACACCATGGTAAGTTTAAAGGGATAGTTCACTTTGAAATTAATGTTTGATACGTTTTAGCTTACCTCAAGGGCATCCAAGATGTAGGTGTCTTTGTTTCTGCAGTATTTTCAATTTTGATATTTTTAGGTCAAACCGTTAATGTCTATCAGTCATATAATGGAGGTCTATGGTCACCACCTCAAAGAGCATGCACAGAGAAGTAAAAATTAAACATGATTTAATTACTCCATTATATAGACCTCCATTATATGACTGACAGACAAGAATGGTTTGACCTAAAAATATCAAAATTGAAACTACTGTGGAAACAAAGACACCTACTACATCTTGGATGCCCTTGAGGTAAGCTAAAACATACCAACAATTTATTTCAAAGTGAACTATCCCTTTAACAGTTGCTTTGCTTTGTTGTATTATCTTGTTAGATACACTACTGTCTGTTTGTTTTTGTGAACACTTTAATTCAGCAAGGACACATTAAAATGATCAATAGTGACAGGAATGAATTAAAATAGCAAAAAAAATCATTTAAATTGTAATATTATTGAACAATATCATTGTTTTTACTGTTTTTTTATTATATCAATGTAGCCTTGTTGAGACTTTAAAAAAACAAAAAATGGTAGGACAGGCTAACATGTATAATCAGTCAGTAAATCATCTCATTTAGATAAGACTGATGCAGATATTAACATGACACGAAAATATTATTTATATATTATAAGTATTTTGTCTTAAATGACTTGCTTATTTTGAATGAAATCTATTCTTCAAGGATTTGCGCATCCTGCACCACTAATTGAAGAAAATATTCAAGAGGAGACACAATCTCCCAAATTAAAGAAGGTAATTATCCTGCCTCATTGGTAAATTGTTCTTAAAGTGCCACTACAATGCTGTTTATGCGAATGTTACATTTCATGCTGTGTAATAAAGCTGTTTATGAAAGGTTATAAAGATCAAAATGAAAAACTAAAGTTATTGTCCCCTTGAAGAAAGAATCGATTCTGAAATGAGTCATCAGTAATTCCAGTCTCACTATTACATACCTGCGTAACAATATAACAAATTTGCATAATGCCAGCCTATGGTTTTCATTGGCTGCCCGTGAACAACATCTACTTTGACCCTCAAACGCTGTTGTTATAGCTGAGGCCTGGAAGAGTTTGGATCGTGTCAGAAGACACTGTTTTCAGTGCTGCGAATCCACTTTGATGCACATCACCAGCTTGAATAGATATCATAAAGCTGATGCCATCGTAACTGTTCATATCACTGTGTATCACGAACTGAGGAAGCTTCCAGGGCTCAAATTCAGATATGGTGATAGGCGTTTTGTTGAGACTGAATCCTTTTGAATTTTTATTTGAGAAATTAGGTGATGAGCAATGTTTTTTTGACATTTGATGCATGTAAAGCCAAAATCTCCACAGGAGCCTTTAAAACAGTATAACACAGGCGCTTTAAGCACTTTATTTGATAAACCAAATGCTTATTATCTTCATTGCATCTTCTTTTGTAGTTCCCCTCAATGTCATCGGCTGAATGTGAAATGCCTGTTATTCAGTAAGTTCCTTTCAGTCCTAGTATTTAAGCCATCACAGTTTTTCTTCTATAAACAGTGTATGTTTGCTGTCTCTCCAGCAACTTCCCATTGCCTGATCAGCTGGTGTCTTCCCTCCCTGTCCCATCGGCCCTCAGTACGTGTGGCTCTCTTCCAGACCTCTCCAGCCTGCACCTGCCTTCTCCTCTTCCTGCAGGACAGGACACTGAGCACCACAGCCGTGCCAATCACCTGAACAACACCTCAATCCACCCTGGCATTATGGCTGACTTTAACTTGCCAGGTATGATTTTCAAATAGCAAAGGGTTTTTACCTTAAAGGGATATTTCAGGATTTAGCATTAAGCTTTGTATTAGTAGAAAACCTGTAGTCTTTTCACATTACCATGCTTTCCACCCTCATATCCCCCTGAGATGAGAGATTTATGCATTTTTTTGTCTGGAAAAAAATCCTCAGATGACGCAAAAATCATCATTTTGCGTCATTGGAGGATTTTTTGTCCAGAGACTAAAGACTACAATCAGTAGTAGTTCTCAACCCGCCCATAGAGCGTGCAATCTCACTCACAGAATGAACACACAGTGTCGGCCATCTTTTTTTAGAAGCTAAGCTAGCAGGCTCTTGTTCTGTGGAGAAAGATGAGTAGTAGGGGTTACCATCCTCTTTTTCCCGGACATGTCCGACCGTCGATGTACGGGATTCTGCTTTTGCTTTCTGCAGTCGCCATTTATGCACACCTTTTGTTTCAATCAAACTGAATTCATTCCGATTGGTGAATCTGAATGTAATGTTTACATTAGGGCTGGGTAATAAATCTTGATTTCTAGATATTAATCGATTCTCATTTTTACGAACCGATATCGATTCTTAAATCTCAAGAATCGATTAGTCATCCTGTTTCATTTGAATGAATGGGACATTGTCTCGTGGCTGCGCGCATCCAAAAAAATCGCAATCATCTTTGTCCTTTGTTACTATTGATATGAAACAAAGTCTCAATTTTCAAATTACGTCCATTTTCTTTAGAAATTCCAAATCATAAATAGTGTTTTGGCGCTGTGGCGTGAGATCGCTCTAGTGGAGCTCAAGAGTAGCAGCAGCGCTGATCTCTCTTCCGGGTTAATAATACCAGTCACAGCGCGAAATAAACATGAATGAGCATCTGAAAGTGTGTTAAAAGATAGAGTACAACTTATCGAAATCCGTATCATGTCACATTGATTCGCTCAATCAGCGTTTCAATCGTGGAAAGACGTCAGTTAAACAGCTTGTAATCAATGTCATGTATCGTCATATTTACCTCAGAAAACCCACATAAACTCGTTAGTCAACTAGAAAAAAATAACTCCAGAGAGGAGCATTTTGCTAAATACATACACCATATAACATATGCATTATAATCTTAATGTTCTTCAATTTTTAATGCATATTTGAATAAATCTGGCAAGTTTTTTATGACGGCAACCATTTAAATGTTTAAATTTCATGTAATCTTCTTATTATAAAAATAAATAAAAGTGTAATTTAAGTGTTTTTATAGCTACAAAACAGTTCATTATTACCTTCATATTAGGCTAATGACGACTATAGGCTACAACTAGACTCCCATAGTTTACAGAATTTAAGAGATTTGATTCCCTTGAGAAAAATGGCCATTTATTGTAACTGATATCCAAAATAATCGATATTGAATCGAATCGAAATCGAATCGAATTGCAAGCTTGTGAATCGAAATCGAATCGAATTGTGAAATTTGTCTCAATACCCAGTGATCGGTTGAAAATTCCCGCTCTTCCGTGAGAGATACGAGACCGGTGCGTCTCACAGGTGTCGTTCATCTGTAATCACGCCACCGGCCTCGCGCCATTCTCCCGCGGCCCTCAGCCTCGTCCCACTCGCCACAGTAAACATGATGAATGCCGACTGTAGAATGCAAAAGCCGAATCCCGGACATTTTGGGCGATCTCGAAACGCATTTTTGTGCAGACTCATCATGGAGACTCACTAGTAGCCTAGACTTGTTGTTTAACTACTGCGCTCTGTTACCGGTAGGCGTGGCCTCCTAGGGCAGCGAAGCAAGTGCATTCTAGGAGTTGTCTGTCATCCACATAAGCCAAAAATACATTCTCATTCTAGAAAGCTCCAAATTCAAAAATAATTTCACATTTCTTCGACATAAATGACCATTTTAAAAACACATTCATCTTTCCAAAGGTGAAGTATCCCTTTAACAATGCAAAGAAATGACACAATTTTGTCTTTTTAGGTCTGTCCTCATCTCTTCAGGCATCTTTAAGTAACCCTTTGCTCCAGTCTTCACACAGCAATCCCAACATCCAGACCTGTCTCAGCAGCCACTCCCTTCCCAGCTCCCTGAGCTCCGCTTCCTTGCGCCTGTCCCTTAGCAATTCTTCCCTGCATTCATCGCTCAGCAACCACTCCCTGCAGTCCTCCCTCAGTAGCTCTTCTCTGAGTAACCAGTCCATCCAGTCGTCTGCCAGCCGCTGCAGTCACAGCAGTGGAATTGGCGGATCTCCCTCTTGCTCCTCTTCCTCTCCCTCTGGTTCTCCCCGTGTAACTGGCCTCGCCCATGGCACCACATCACGGAAGAGAGCCCAGCTCAGCCCACTCATTGTGCCCAGTGGTGGAGAGTCCCGCTGGCAGCATCCAAAGCAGTTTTCACCCACACTGTCTCCAACCATGTCTTCTATATCACAGGCAAGATATGAAGATTGTTGATAATCATACTTGCTCACAGACTGTTTATATACAGTCCCTCCAGAAAAACGCGATTATGCGATCGCTGAATTCAATGCAAATTCAGCCAAAGTCCGCATATTTATGCGGGGGCGCATTTTTTAAAATACGCCGCACTTTCGCCGCATAAATTGCCGATTTCCGTGCAAAATATGCGGGGTTTGCATAATTTCATAATCCTCGCATTTTCGTTGCAAAAAAAGTCACATGTATCTTAGCAGAAAGTTGAAAAATGTTGCGTTTGCTTCACACAAGAGCAGCCATTTCCCCCTGTTTCCATGGGAACGTTATGAAGTGACGCAATTACGCGATGCCAGACAGACTCACGGAGGCGATTGACATCTCACAAATCGAACTCGTATAACTGTCTGTCACATGTTCTACCGTCACATCATTACTAAATAAACATCATAAGATAAAAGAATTAGCATCAAACAGAAATTACCCGCACACACGGGGTGTTCGAGGCGCACATACTGTATAACACTGCAGAGAGTTCAACAGGGAGCGCGCAGCTCTTAAAGGGGCCACACCTTATTTACACTCGTTACAGTCTGAAATAAAACAAGATGAGAAATTAAATATTCCCAGCACTTTCTATGATGTAGTATACTTGTTTATCAAAGGAAGTAATAAGAAATGACTCTTACATTAGCCTAGTGAGAACAGGATGTTGGGGAATCACTTTTTTTCTCTTTTTCATCAAACCGCAATTTTTGCAAATTCCTGCAATTTCATCGCATAAAATTGCATACATTTACGGTATGATGCTGGCAACCACAGCTGCCAGCAGTTTACCGCGTAATCAATAAATTTTTGCCCGCAACAATCACAAAAAACTCCACGTTTTTCTGGAAGGACTGAATACTATTATGGTAAATGTTATATATAAATCGCAAATTTTTTCACAAATTTTTTGGAAATTACCACCACAAAATCAGTCATTTTGATCGCAAAAATCACACAAAAAAATCGTGAAATCCTGGAGGGACTGTATATATATGTACTATAGTATTTTTAAAATATGTTGAATTAGCTTTAATTTTGACATTTTCTTTCATCTATCCATTCATCCATCTATATAATTTAATAATACATATCATGATACTGAACTCATGATACAATATTATTGCCATACTCCAAGACATATTTAACAAAAAATGTGCTGTTGATTAAAATTCTAACTTTGATATTACATTGTGGGTTTAAATGAATAGGCTTGGACTCGGTGCTTGTAACCCAAGGACAATGGTGACACCAGAATAACAATATTCATGATTCTGAAGCTGAAAATACAGAATTATTTTAGATGAATATGCTTAAACGCTTTCACTGACTAAATATATTTAAAATAATGTCGGCCACTTTTTACTGGTAACATGGCATTATCAGGACCCACAAATATTCCCACATTGTGTTATTATACTTTATAATCAACATTATATATTGCAGTTTAATGTAGTACTTAGACTAAAACAATGAAAACTTGAATTTTTTCCACTATCCACGATACATAGTCACAATCCACGATGCAGTTTTGTATTGCGATATATTGTTACACCCCTATAATTTAATCATAACAAATCTTGAAATAGTTATAGCATGTTATTGATTATGGCAGTGTTAATGTACTTGGTCGTTCAGAAATATCAGACATGCTGTCCGTCAGACCAGACTTTTTAAAGGGATAGTTCGCCCAAAAATGTCTGTCAGTAATTACTCACTCTCATGTTGTTCTAACCCCGTAAGACTTTCGTTCATCTTCGGAACACAAATTTAGATATTTTTGACGAAATCTGAGAACTGGCTCACTCCTTCATTGGCTGCCCAGAAAAGTTAGTAAAGACATTGTTAAAATAGTCCAAGTGACTACAGTGGCTCAACTTTAAGTTTATCAAGCGACGAGTATACTTTTTGTGTGCAAAAATGAACAAAAATAATAATGACTTTTCAACTATTCATTTTCTTCTGTGTGGGCGTGTGAGTGAGTTCACGTAGCGTACCTGCGCAGCACTTCTGTGTTGTACGTCAGAACGTAGGCTCTCTATTGGCCAGCTTCACGCACAAGACCAGCGTCAGCCACACACTTTAGTCACTTGGACTATTTTAACGATGTCTTTTTACTAACTTTTATGTATACATCATGCATTAGAAATTTAAGAGGTACTCAAAGTGTTTTCATTTAGTTTAAGAAGATTTTTTTTTTTTAATTGAGAACAAAGAAACTAGCATCTTCCTGGTCATAATTTCTTATTATTTATTATGTTCTCATTATTTATTTTACTATTTCTTATTTTATTTATAATAACATTCATATATTATAATATTTAGTATGAATGTTTTTTACAGGGTGCTCCTCATCTAAACCCCAACAAAGTTCAGAAAGAGACAAAGCCACCAGCATATCCCTGCAGTCAGCATCTCCGATCCGCTCCTCCGCTGTCCCATCAGCCAATGCGGCAGTATTTCCAGCCAGAGGCGCAGGACCAGTCTATCCCAGAGATGGAACAGTGGATTCAAAATGACCACCAGCAACAACATCAACAAACACACAATCAGACGCAACAACATCACTCTCACAAACACGGTCGGCACCTGCAGCATCATTCGCAGCTGCACGCTAAATATCAACAGCAGTTACAGTATCATTCCCAGACTCACCAACCACAGGGATTGCAGCAAGCGATTTCCCAGCAGCAACAACATCATCCTCATCATCAACTGCTCTACACACAGTTCCAGCATCATCAGATGTCTGGGGAGCCGTGGCATTTGCCTTGCCAACAGGACCAATATCAAGGTCAACATCCACATCAATCTGCAACTTTCCCCTCTCAGGGTCAGGAGAAAAACTGGAATCATATGACAGGCACACACGACTCGCCACACATGCAGGTGAAACGTAGACACTGTATGCAGATGCAGGAGGAAGCAAAACCCCAATCTAAAGTCACTGTCCACCAGACTCAAGGAGAGGGATTGAAAGTCGCTCATTATAAGGAAAGTGAAGTAGACGGAGCAAATCCAAGTTTGCAAGATAAAGGTTTTGAACTGAACAAGGTGAGCCCTGTTTGCATTAGAGTGCATGAACCAGACTTAAAGGAGTAGTTCACTTTAAAAAAAAAACTTTTGCTGATAATTTACTCACCCCCATGTCATCCAAGATGTCCACGTCTTTCTTTCTTCAGTCGGAAAGAAATTAAGGTTTTTGATGAAAACAGTCCAGGATTTTCTCCATATAATGGACTTCAATGGGAACCAAATGAGAGTTTCAAGGCAGCTTCAAAGGGCTTTAATCGATTCCAGACGATGAATAAGGGTCTTATCTAGCAAAACGATCGCTCATTTCGCTCAAAATGTTTTAAAAGCACAAATGCTTGCCTTGCTCTGTTCTGTGATGAGCGTTTGTGTGTGACTCTCCTGTTCAAACTCGTTCATCAAAATAAACAAATCTTTTTTCGAGTCATAACTCGAAGGGTCCTAGATAAGACCCTTATTCATCGTCTGGTGTCGTTTAAAGCCCTTTAAAGCTGCACTGAAACTCATTTGAACCGTTTGGTTCCCATTGAAGTTCATTATATGGAGAAAAATCCTGGAATGTTTTCATCAAAAACCTTCATTTCTTTTCAACTGAAGAAAGAAAGACGTGGACATCTTGGATGACATGGGGGCGAGTAAATTACCAGCAACATTTTTTTTAAAAGTGAACTACTACTTTAATGAAGATGATGAAAAACACTTTTTTTTTGTTTCAGGAATCGTATGTCGGCTTACATCTTACCCCTAGCCAAGCGAAGGCCCTTTCTCAGCAGGTACATTGCTTATTTCATTAATCATCAGCTTAGATTGCACACGTGTACACTGTCTTGGCCATATGGTGTGTGGCTGAGCTGCAGTTACCACTGATTTTGAAGATTTCTCTCCCCACTCAGCTTGGAGCGCTTCAGAAGGATCCTCTAGGCGGCAGTAGAGGGTCAGATCTGAACTGTGAAGCTTCAGAAAGCAGTGAACTTCCTCAGCAGAACCAAAGCTGCAGTGCTGGAGACACACAAAATGCTTTCAACATCAACTTATCTGGTGAGACTAACATATGAGCTGCTAGTTCAATCCTGTAAAGCCTGGAGTATGAAATCGTAGTCAGAAAAATAGTTATTTATTGTAGCTTTTTTCATGAGTATTATATTTGATGCACTCGGCTTGTGTAGTATGATATAGGAGCAGAATATAGAGCACACACTGTTAAATAAATAAATGTTTCCAGACTGTACTTTATAAAAATTAGTGTAAATTTCAAAATTATACTAAAATACCTATTACTTGCTTAAAATTAACTATAAATCAGACAATAGAAGGCATGTAGTAGATTGTGTACACATTATTCAGTAAAGATTTGATCATGTTTTCAGCCATGATTTAGAGGATTTGTGAATGAAATATAAGTGATTTTATTGCTGTTGTTTTATAAATAATAATAATAATAATAATAATAAAACTTTATTTTATATAGTGCCTTTAAAAGTAGTATCTCAAAGCCCTTTACATAAAAAATAATGGAAATAGACAGACACAACAGTCTAGGCAATAAGAACTAAACAAGCAATAAAATAAAAGGCAAATAAAATAACAATCACAGTGATCACACAATCACATAAAAGCCACCCTAAAAAAGTACGTTGGGAGGATTTAAAAACTAAGTGATTCTGCATTTCTAATCTCAGAGGGCAGTGAATTCCACAATTTTGGAGCTAAAGAAGAAAAAGCCCGATCACCCATAGTTTTTAGCCGTGTTGTTTGGACGGTTAAAAGACCAGCTTCAGAAGATCGCAAAGCACGTGTAGGAGTGTAGGGGGTTAAGAGCTCACGCAAATATTGAGGGGCCAAGATATTCAGGGCCTTATAAGTGAGCATGAGAATTTTAAAATCAATACGAAAACTGACTGGAAGCCAGTGCAATTTTTCCAGGATAAACTACACTGTAGTGCAAATGTCTTGTCATATTTCATTTTAGATCCTCCGTCATTCACTTATTTCTCTCACCAATTCTCCACTTTTTTCAGACCCGTCATCCTGGCTGGACCAGGACATATCCGGTCTGCCGGACTCCCTCCTGGAATTTGATCTAGAAACATTTGGCCTGGACAGTAACTTAGGTTGGCCATGAATGTGTCATAAAAGTGCACAGAAACACATTTATTTGGACAAGTACCTTTTTAAAGGAATGTTTTTGCCCGTGAACTCGAAATATAGCCCTTAGAGTCAAAAAGAATGTAAACTATAAATTGGCTTAAAGGTCCTATAAAGGGAACAAACATGACAATTATGTTTTAATAAATAGTTTTTGCACACAAAGGTCTTAGATAGCAGGTCTATGTGCCTTAATATGAAGTTTTAGTTATATTTAATTATCAATAGAACTGAAATAGGTTGTTTATGTACAGATACATATTGTGATGTCATGTATGAGTTGATTAGGACATGTATATTTTCACATACTGCATAGAATTGCCCGTATAATATGGAGATACTGTATAAGAAGGCTAGTTTTGGGCCAACTTCTTTAACTAACCATATTGTCATGATGGTTAAAATTAAGATAGTAAACATTTTTAAGCTTTTACTCTGTCTAACTCTGACTTGGCCTAAAGATTTGATCATATCCATTTGTTTTTTCATGTTACAGTTTTTATGTTGCAGTGTTTTCTCTGGTGGGTCATTTTTGTGACTCTTTGTAATTCACTTTCGAGTCGACACCTGCCTTTGAATTTTCATAATATCTTTTCATTGCCGTTTTATCATCCACAATTATATTCATAATGTAGTTTTATTATATTTTCATATTGATTTTGCTTTATCACTCTCTGGTAGAGGTGATATTGTTATTTTACAGTATTTGTCTTTAATATGAAATCAAATATATTGAGATTTTTCTCAGTATGCATATGCATTTTCATGACTGATAGAATTGGGGGTTCGTTTAGGCTACATGAAAACTGAAAACAGAAAAAAAATTTTTTGGAAAGTTTCATGTGCAAATGACAACATTGCAAAAAACAGTCCAGACACGAATCCGTAAAAATGACAAAAAAAAGCTGTGTTATGTTGACTGGCCAGTAGTTGGCGATGTTAATTTGAAAAGACTGAACACATAATATAAATAACTAATTATTAATAATTTGTAAAAATTCGCGGCCAAATAAATGGCCAAAGCGCATACTGATTTTTCCGTCTTTAGTTGAAAACTGTCATGTAAAACGGCCTCTTAATAACATCATTTGAACATCTGTAAATTCCACAAAGTATTGCAATTAAAAAGTGGACTAATGCATCCAAGTGTACGCTTTCATATATTTTTACTAGTAAGTATGAGACGGATTTTCCAATTTACCTCAGGTTCACCCTCACAGTCAAACATGTCTTTGTGTATTAATATGCACATTATTGTGCCTTATTAATACTTAGTAAAAATGTAATCATTTAGCAAATGATTAACCTGTGTATAAGTGCTAATGCCCATAGGCCCAAAGGTGATGGATCATTCACACCGACTCACTGGTAAACCGTTACATGCGTAGATTTTCAGATCTAGTGCTTATAATCCACAATTCAGTTTGTCATCCTAATTTTTAAAGCTCATATTCATTTTAATGACATCTTAAAGAATTGAACTTTATATCTAGACATGCAGGAAAATAATTGCTCATTTGGGATGTTAATGAAATGCAGATTTTTCATATTTTGTAATTTTATTATAATCATCTTTTTTCTATTCTATGATATAAATATTATGTTAACGCACTGATTTGTGACCAGGTTTTTGTTTTATTATAGTTTTATTAATATTTTTAATTAATGTTAATTGTTAATTTTAGTTTATTTTTATTAATTTAGTTATGTATGGTTGTCATATTCTTTTTTTTAATATATAAATGTTTATGTACAGATACATATGAGACATATATATATATATATATATATATATATATATTAGGGCTGTCAAACGATTAACCGCGATTAATCACATCCAAAATAAAAGTTTGTGTTTACATAATGTATGTGGGTTTACTGTGTATAATTATTTTGTATATATATAAATACACACACACATGCATGGATATTTAAGAAAAATTTTATTTATATAAAATATTTATATATAATATGAATTATATAAATCTATAAACAGTATATACATGAAAATATTTCTTAAATATATACAAGCATGTGTGTGTATTTATAAATATAAAATAATTATACACAGTAAACCCAAATATATTAATATATTATGTAAACACAAACTTAATTGTTTGACAGCCCGGATATATATATATATATATATATATATATATATACATACATATAGATAGATAGATAAAATATAGATATAGCCTATTGCTATTTGGGTTTAATTTATTATTATTTCAGTTTTAATTTTTATTTCCAATTAATTAATCATTTTAATAAAGTATAGTGACAAGGCAACATTTCTAATTTTCATTTAGTTTTTGAACTAATATTTATTTTTATTAACAGAAAAGTTTGTTTTAGTTAATATAAGATAATAACCCTGGTTGTGCCACTCAGGTAAGATGACTTTTTACATTAAATTGAATAATTTAGCAGACATTTTTATCCAAAGTGACTTACAAATGAGGAGAGCAATAGAAGCACTCAAACCTACAATAGGGCAACAATATGTAATTGCCTTGACTAGTCCCAGTGCAGTACACATTGCATGTTTTCTTTGTATTTTTTATTTTTTTTATGTATCTAGAATGGTAAGTATTAGTATTAATGGGTCAAGTGTTGACAAACTATGCATCCTCAGCTTAAAATGGTTAAAGACTCAGCAGCTCGGGTTGAGATAGGCAGGTCATTCCTCCAGCTTTACCATCTGTGAAAGAGATTTTGTGCCTCTTTTAGATGGCACACAAATCTGAAGTAGTGAGTTTAGGTAAAAGGGAGCAGAGCCGGTTGTTCTATAGGTGAACATCAGTGCCTTGAATTTGATGAGTGTGACCGTGTATGCCTGCCAAGAGAGCATTACAATAGTCCAGTCTGGATAGAACAAGCGCTTGGACAAGCAGTTGTGTAGCTCCGTTAGGAATGGCCTGATCCTCCTAATGTTGTAAAAGGCAGGTTCCTGGCTGACCTTGATGGAGTTATGGTTGACGAACCAAGCTGAATGGAGAAGTTGTGGTGTAGTGTTGGGTTGGGTTTCAACAAGCAACTCTGTCTTCGCAAGGTTTAGTTGAAGGTGGTGGTCCTTCATCCAGCCAGAAATGACTGTCAGCTGGAGATGCGAGCAGCTACCGCCAGATCATGTGGCTTGAATGAGAGGTAGAGTTGTGAATCATCAGCGTAGCAGTGATAGGAAAAGCCATGTTTCTGAATCATAGATCCTAGTGATGTCATGTAGATGGAGAAGAGAAGTGGTCCAAGCACTGAGCCCTGAGGCACCCCAGTAGCTACACTCTCAGAAAAAAGGTACGAAAGCTGTCACTGGGGCTGTACCTTTTCAAATGGTACACTTTTTTCCATTTGAGGTATTAATATGTAAATTTTATGTGCTAATATGTACATTTTTGGTGCTAATATGTACATTTCAGGTGCTAATATGTACATTTTAAGTGTTGATATGTACAGTACATTTTAGGTGTTAGTATGTACATTTTATGTGCTAATATGTACATTTTTGGTGCTAATATGTACATTTCAGGTACTAATATGTACAGTTTAAGTGTTGATATGTTCATTTTAGGTGCTAATATTTACCATTAAGGTACCAATATGCTAGCCTGGCTGCGCCCTCCTACGCACTTCCGCTCAATTTCATTTTACTTCTGTACTAATGAAATGAACTAGAGTCTGGTTGAACCAGGCTACCAATATGCACCCTTAATGTACAAAAGTGTACCTTTTGAAAAGGTACAGCCCAAGTGACAGCTTTTGTACCTTTTTTCTAAGAGTGTAGATGTTGGGTTTAGACACCTCACCCCTCCACGACACCCTAACCGACCAACCTTGAGAGAGGTAAGACTTGAACCATTGGAGTGGGGGTCCCCAAGATGCCGTTCATCTTTAGGATTAACATGAGGATCTGGTGGTTAAATGTGTCAAAAGCATCAAGACAGATCCAGCACGATGAGCACTGATGATTCGGAAGCTGCTCTTGCCAGTCTCAGAGCTTCAATGACTGAGAGTCTCAGTTGAGTGGCCACTTTTGAAACCAGACTGGTTGTTATCCAGGAGGTTGTTCTGTACAAGAAAGGTAGAGACTTGGTTAAACTTCACTTCCTGTTTTAGCAATGAATATATGAAGAGTTCAGATGCAAAAGCCTCTAAATGCCATTTGAAATTTTCTTCTTTAATGATGATTTTTATCAAACTTGTATATTTAAGTTCAGTAATTTCACTTAAATAACAATTAATAGGTAATTATCATTGCCATTTAAGTGAAATCACTGAACTTATACAAGCTTGATAAAAATGATCATTCTAGAAGAAAATTTCAAATGGCACTTAGAGGCTTTTGCATCTGAACTCTTCATATATATATATATATATATATATATATATATATATATATATATATATATATATATATATATATATATCAATATCCTCCTCTTTTCCCCACCATTGAATCTCTCTACTTTTCTTGAAAATTATTCTTTGAAAAAGTGCTCAGATGCACCATTCTTGCAACAACCTAAGAACTATCACCTGCTTTATCCTCCATAAACCTCTTATTATCATCTCACTGTCTTTTACTGTCTCTATTATAGTTGCTGATCCTTCTCAAAATCCTCGAATCTCCCAGTGACAGAAGCACAGGTATAAAGTTGATCTGATGTCCTATAAGTGAAGTTGAACCCAGAATGCACCGTTGCTGTCTATCAGATCATGTATGACTCGAGATTCCTCTCCTCTCTCTTACTCTTTCTCCTTCCCCTGTGCATAATAGAGTTAACAACATATAAAAGGCATGGAGAGAGCAGTGAATGAGTCCCTAAGTGTTAGGGTGGATTATCCCTTGCCTGTATCCATGGTTTACTGGGCATCCATAGAGCACCTAATGGGATAAGGAGAGAGCGGAACGGTAGGTGAGGCCCGTCTGACTCTGGCCTGAGTGACAGACAATCCTTTAAGAAAAATGGAGACAACCAGATTCAGATTCTCTTTTTCAGAATTCTTACGCAAATTTTGGTGCTTTTATCCCTTCAGTGTTGACCAGTAATGTTTCTAGAGTCCTTGGTTCAAGTGTCTTGAACATAATTAGATTATATAGTTAGATTGTGCCAATGATGTTTCATGCTGACATAAGACACTTTTTGCTATTTTTCTATGACATTATATCTATATTTTATTGTGAAGGAAACAATGTAGGCCCAAAAAGTCTGAGACCACATGAAAGTCTGGAGTCTGACTTGGAAATAAACTGAGCATTTTTGAATAATAAAAGAATAATAAAACAAAGAAAAGTTATACTGAAAAATTAAAAATAAAGGTGATTTTTCAATTCAGCCATCAGTCAGCCTACTGATAATATTTTTTTTTTGTAATGAAAATAATTGTTAAAATGCTAAATTGGAGTAGTTGGTTCAGATGTTTGGACCCCTCTCAATATTCCGTGAATTAAGAGAAGTTTCATTAAAGAAAAAAATCCTTCTTGTAACATTGTTAAAGTGCTATAAATTATTTCAATGTGCTCTTTCACATGCATAATACAGATATACTACTGATTTCCATTTTAGTGAAGTATTTCATTGTCTTCATATGAAAACGGAGTTTGTAATGTGACTGAATAGTGTGCTTTCAGCGTGTGTCGTATAATTAGTGTTTCTCACATGCGCTGCCTGTTCAAATGTGTCAAACTTTCTTTCAATTAGTAGCCTATAATGAGAGAGGATGGGCCCCTGGGCAGGCCACTCACTTTACTTAGCATGCAGATCTATTCATTTACTGATTCATATGCTAATGACTGCTAATTGAATCAGTGTGTTGGGTGTTTTCCTGGGTTTGATGATTTCGTTGGATCTGACCGCACAGGGTGAGAATGGTTTACTCAAATAGTAAGGCTAAAAATGCAATGAGGATAACAAAATTAGTTAATTAGAGCTTAGTTTACACTGCCACATAAAACACTGACAAGTTAATTCAGTTGAATAGAATGAATTGGTTACCTAAATAAATAATATTAGTACTTTATAAGGTATAATATAATGTTTTAATTATGAATAATAGGCCTTTTCATAGATAGATCGATAGATGGATAGATGGATGGATGGATGGATGGATGGATGGATGGATGGATGGATGGATTGATAG